TGTACTGTATTTTAATTCTTCTTAATAGGGGCACGCTGCAGTTGCTACGCTTCTGGGATCTTCGATTGTCAGTTCTGACTTTGACTGCTAGGCACAGTCAGGTAGGAACATTTTGGAGTATTAAGAATGTAGGTTGAGCTGGAGTTGGCGATCGAGGGAAGAAGGGAGGGAGGGAGGGAGGGGGAGAGGGAGGGATAGGAGGGAGGGAGGCAGCCCCAGGATAAAACTTGGGGCAAGCAGGTTTGTGGGAGCAGGAAAAGTGAGCAGCCACATTTCTGAAGTGTCGCCATGGCAGTGTGTGCTTTCCCTGGAAATCTGCTTTGCGTGGAGTTTAGGCTCTGTGACGCTGTGGGCAGCAGGGAAGCTCCTTAGCTCACCATACTTAAAATTGCCAAGCCCTCTTACGTGGGCAAAGCAGATTTTGGGAAGCATTTTATTAGTATTAGTATTATTATTGTTATTATTATCAAAATATTTGCTTATTTTTAAATACTCGAAAGACTGAGTGTCAGAGAGTAAGAAGGAGAATATGTTTCATCCAATGACGCACTCCCGAAATGTGTGCAGCAGCCTGGGCTGGGCTACACTGAAGGCAGGAGCCAGGAGCTCCATCCAGGTCTCCCAAATGGGTAGCGGGGTCACAGCACTTGAGCCATCACCTGCTGCCTCCCAGGTGCATCAGCAGGGAGCTGGGTGGGAAGTGGAGGTGTCAGGACTGGAGCTGGCGCTCTGGTGTGGGATTTGGGCATCCCAAGCAGTGGGCACCTCGCTGTGCCACAAGGCCACACAAGCAGTTGCCTCTCAGCTGACGCACTGAAGCTTGGAGCGCGAACAGCGGCTCTCACTGCCCACTGACTCCCTGACCTGGTTTTGGCCCTGTGACCTTGGGTGAGGCGCACAGTAGGCTGCCATTCGGATCTGTTGGGAGAATCCAGCAAGGGGGCCTGTGGGCCACTGGAGGAAGCACAGTGCTGGCTGCAGGAAGCACTTTACCACGGATTCACGGGCGGAATGACTTCCGTGGGCCTGCAGCAGGGGAGCGTCCTGGCTTTCTTGTGTGCCTGGCCCTGGGGTGTCCAGTGGCTCACAGTGAGAATCCAGTGAGGAAGGTGGTTGTGAGTGGGGTCTTATCTGGCAGCTCAGGCCAGGGCCTCAAAACCGAGTCAAGGCAGATTTTAAAGAACAATGTCTTGGCGTCAGTTTTGAGTGTGATTCTCTGGGATAGTAGAAGGGCCTTAAGAGTAAGAGGTTTTTAGAGAGTGGGGCGTAAGTGGCCCTAAGAAGGAAGACAGGAGCAGGTGTTCATCCTGGCTGTATCCCACATCGGGGTGCCGGGGTTCGAGTCCCAGCCCTGGATCCTGACTTCAGCTTCCTGCCATTGCAGATCCTGGAAGGCAGTGGCGATTGCTCAACTGTTGGGTCCCTGCCACCCACATGGGGGGCCTGGGTTGAGTTCCTGTCTCCTGGTTCCTGGCTCCAGCCCTGGCTGCTGCGGGCCTCTGGGGAGTGAGCCAGTGGATGTGAACTCTCTTTGGCTGTCTCTCTGACTCCCAGATAGAAGTCAGTTTTTGAGTGGCAGGTCTGGCAGTTAGGTTGTTGGAGGGTATGGACTGATAGTCTAGTATTTATCAAGAGTAGTGCTGTTTGTGTTTAACCAAAGCCTTTGGTCTGCTCTGGCTGCCGTAACAAAATCCTGCAGACTGGGTGGCTCCTGGTCCGCGGCTGGGGGCCCCAGGCCCTGGCTGACCTGCTTGTGGACGCCGCTCGTGGTGCTCCTGTGGCCTTCGTGAGAGTGGGCGGGGGGCGGGCAAGGTGTCTCTTCTGCTTCCTGACCCCGTCTGGAGATGCCCCTTCACGGCATCTAAGCCCTCACCGAGGCTTTTGTGGAGTTCCCATTGCTCTCCTTTCTCTTCCCTTCTCTGTTGTGGGTTGTTAGACCTGAAGCCACAGTTCCAGTTTCTGCTTTGGTTGCTGGGGTTACCCTAACAAAATGCCACAGCCGAGACAGCGTGAATGTGGGGACGTGTTCCTCACAGTTCTGGGGGTCGGACGTCCACATTCGAGGTTCTCTCCTTGTCTCACTGCGTCCTCCCATGGCCCTTCCTCTATCCTTTTTGGTCACCTTGGATTACAGCCCCACCCTTAATATCTTCTTTGACCTTGGTTACCTCCTTAAAGGGCCTGTGTCCAGACACATTCATACTGGGGTTAGAGCTTCCAGATGTGCACTTGGGGAGATCCTCATAAGTCCATAACCCACAGGTGGGGCCGCGAGCCCTGCTCTGTAGACAAGACCTCTGAGGAGGACTCAGTGGTTGGAATGAGGGCGAGGGTGCTGGCAGCATCATTGTTATGACAATCTCTGTTTTGTGTATGTTCTTGCATTCTCCTCTCTCTCTCTCTTGCATACACTGTCACACACATCCAAACCCATGCACAAACTTTGATGGAAATTATTTACAATAGTATATAGATAAAATCAGCACAGTAATCCATAAATGGAATAACAGAGGACTTCAGAGATAAGAGTAGAAAAAAAGAATTTATAAATTTCAAAACCGTGTTGTGAAACAACATGTGTGGTTACACAGGAGCATGTGTAGTACCGAGTATTTGTACTCCCTCACAGATAAACACTGAAGTATGAGAAGCAAAACAAAACAAAATATTCTCACCTGATGATGGCAGCCTTCTCTGATAGCCAGCAGTTCCCCAGTTTTTGTCAGATGTGTTTCTCAACCCCTGCTTTAAGTCACCCATTTAAGGAACCTGCGGGACAATGGGATGTGCATTTGCTGTCTGCAGAAAGAGAACGCAGAAAGCTGGGTTGGAGGGAGGAAGCAGCAGTGTGAGGTCCTTCAGGCAGCTCAGAGGTGGGGTGCAGGGTGCCTGGGCTCTCCACACCGGTGGCTCCTAGGGCGAGTGCTGTAGAGCCCATGGTGAGGACCAGAGCTTGCTTCTCAGGACCCCCACCCCGGGACACCATCAGGGCTCTGGTTGACTGGGTAGCACGAAGAAAAGGTGAGGAAAGTTTTTGCTCCAAAATTAATGTATCTTTTCATTCCAGCTTTCCATTAACCTTTGCAGATCCCTCATATTTGGGATGGCACGTAAGACATGGGTCTTACCGTCACTGGCATCTTGGATGAGATGAAAAATCCTAACTCCATTAAGCCTTGTTGTTAAACTATAACGTGGTTGGAGTTTCATTCCCCTTAGGCCCCATATGAAATTGAATCAGTTAGTTTTACAAAAGTTATTCGCTGGGGAGGAGGCTGTGGCACAGCGGGTTCAGGCACTGCTTGTGACACTAGTATCCCATATCTGAGTGCCAATTTGAGTCTCTGCTATTCCACTTGCCGTCTGGCTTCCTGCTAATGTGTCTGGAAGGTAGCAGATGATGGCTCAAGTGCATGGGTCCCTGTGATCCATGTGGGAGATTCAGTTGGAGCTCCTGGCACCTGGCTTTGGCCTAGTCCAGGCCTGGCTGTTGTGGACATCTGGGAAGTGAACCAGTGCATGGAGGACTCTTTCTTGCTAGTCCATCTTTGTCTCTCCCTATCTCTCTCTCAAATAAATAAATCTATTCTTTAAATAAACAAATCTTAATTAAAAAAAAAAACTTTTTAGAGAGAGGGCTTTCCCATCAGCTGACTTATTCCCCTAATGCCTCCCATGGCTGGGGCTGGGCATTCAGTCCAGGTCTCCCACGTGGGTGGCAGAGTGTGCACTAGCAGGAAGCTGGAATCTGGAGCCAGAGCCAGGTACTTAACTCAGGTACTTCGATAAGGAATGTGGGTGTCTTAACCGTTATGCTGAGTGTCCACTCACAGATTTTGCTAAAGGTCAGTTAACACTAAGCCGTGGGTCCAGGTGGTCCCGGGGTCTTTACTAGTTTTCAGTTTTTCTCTTTTAATTGATCTGTTTAATTTCCTCATTTTAATAGTGCAGATTATTAAACAAGAACATGTTAAGAAAGTGGCAATATTTTACAATGAAGTTTTAAATTTCAGATTAATTTTAGGCACACACAGAAGGAAATGCATAATTTCCCATATAGCCCCAACCTAATTTGCCCTCTTGTTAACATATCACCTGTATCAGATGTCTGTTAAAATCTTACATAATTTGTCATGATTATTTTACACCTTATTCATGTATTTATTTGAAAGGGAGAGGAAGAGAGAGAGAGAGAGAGAGAGAGAGAGAATTTTCCATGCTGGTCCACCCCCAAATGCACAGTAACTGGGGCTGGGTTGGAACTGTGGGAGCTGGGAACTCCATCTGAGTCTCCGACATGGACAGCAAGGACCTGCTTCAGCCAGCACCTGCTGCCTCCCTGGGTCTGCACTGGCAGGAAGCTGGGCCTGGGAGTGGAGCAGGGACCTGAACCTGGGCATTCTGGTAGGGAGTGAGGGCACCCCAAGTGGCATCTTAACTGCTACACAGTACCTGCCCCTGTATTTTATCCTGATTCATGCAAAACAGTTTTATGCAGAATGCTACAGAGCCCCGCCTCACGCAACACTGCTGTGCTCCTCAGGTCTGCTCTTCCAGGAAGTCACGATGCAAGTGTGTAGGCTCTTCAGGCTGGCTCTCTGTTACTCAGAGTGTGCATGGAATAGCCACCAAGTCATGGGCCGGGAGGTCCCCTGTTTCTGTTTCCAGGGGGATTCCCTTTCATGGATGTACTGCAGTTGGGTTATGCATTCAGTTACTGAAGGATATTTTGAACATTTTGAGTTTTGACCATTTTGAGTAGAGCTGTTGTATACAGTTACAAATTGGTTTTCATTTAGACATGATTTTGGCATGCCATTGTCTAAATTGCTGGGTTGTAAAGTGAGGCTTGTTTAATTTTTGAACAGATTTTCAAACTGTCTTCCAAAGTGTCTGTGCCTTTGTGCACTGCACTGTCAGTGAGTGAGGCCTCCCTCTGCCCCTCACCCTCCGGCGACGGGAGTGCTTTTCACAGTTAAGTGATTCTAACTGGTGTGCAGTGATCTCTCACTGCTGTGTTGCTTCAATTCCTTATTGACATAGGATGTCAGCATCTTTTGTACGATTATTTGCCATCTTTCTATTTTCTTGGACAGGTGTCTGTTCAGAATTTACCCATTTGTAGTTATGAGTTGTTATTGTTAACCTCCATGAGTTCTTTAAGCAATCTGAATCATACATATTTTAAAAGATTTTATTTATTTATTTGAGGGTAAAATTACAGACAGAGAGAGGGATATACACAGAGAGAGGTCTTCCATCCACTGGTTCACTCCCCAAATGGCCACAACAGCCAGAGCTATGCTGATCTGAAGCCAGGAGCCAGGAGCTTCTTCCAGGTCTCCCACACAGGTGCAGGGGCCCAAACACTTGGGCCACCTTCTGCTTTTCCAATCCACAACAGAGCGCTGGCTCCAGAAGTAGAGCAGCTGGAACTCCAGTCAACGCCCCATGGGATGCTGGCGCCGCAGGTGGAGGCCTAACCTGCTCTGCCACCGCGCAGGTCCCTGGATTACATATTCTTTAGCAGATGTCTGTTTAATAAACCGTTTCTTCCAGTCTGTGTCTTCTGGTTTTGTCCTCTACACACAATGTGTCACAGAGTAGAAAGCTTAATTTTTATGAAGTCCATGTTAGCTTTTTTTCTCTTTTGGATTGGCTTTTTTAAAAAAGATTTATTTATTTATTTGAAAGTCAGAATTACACACAGAGAGAAAGAAAGGCAGAAAGAGAGAAAGACAGAGAGACAGAGACAGGTCTTCCATCTGTTGGTTCTCTCCCCAGTTGGCTGCAATGGCTGGAGCTGTGACTATCCAAAGCCAAGAGTCAGGAGCTTCTTCCAGGTCTCCCACGTGGGTGCAGGGGCCCAAGCACTTGGGCCATCTTCCACTGCTTTCCCAGGGCACAGCAGAGAGCTGGATACCAAGTGGAGCAGCCGGGACACGAACTGGCGCCCATATAGGAGGCCGGCACTGCAGGTGGCGGCTTTACCCACTATGTCACAGCACTGGCTTTTGACTGGCTTTTGATTTTGTATGTTTAAAACTCATCAGGTACCAGGTCATGCAGATTTTATTCGGTTCTTCAGTATTTTGTAGTTTGATTTTCAAATTTCACTGTGTGGACTATTTTGAGAGAACTGTTCTGTTCTGTCTACATTCGTTTCACTCAGTGTGGTTTTGGAAATGGCATAGAAGAGCGGGTTCATTCGGCTTGAGCAGTCTATGTGTCTTCACGGAGTTCCACTCTTTCCAAGCAAAGCTGGGTCACGGGCGCTCGCATCCTGCGCTGCGTCCTGGTGGCCACGAGGGGGCGCGCACACCCGCCTTTTCTCACCGACTCGCGAGTCCATGGGAGCAGAGTGCTGGCTCCACAGCGGGACAGCCCCCTGTCCTTGGGAACAGTGGCCGGGAGACCCCAGGCCGCGCTGTGCAGGGGCGGGTGAGTGGCTTCCCGTCCACAGCTTCGGTGCTGGGGCTGGGGGTCTTCAGAGCAGAAGGATTCAGGCGGAAAACTGTAATTCAGAGTAACCACTGTTTGCACCCAGGATCCAGGACGTGTGTCCACTAACAACATCTTCCAGCGCCTCTGAGGCCGATGCACTGCCCGCGCTGTGACCTCTGTTCACAGACTGCTGGAATCGTCTCTACACTGTGGCCTCTAGTCCTGATGCGAATTCTTACATCCTGCACAAAGGAAACTGCGTGCTCACTGGACGCTAACTTGTTCTCCTCTCTCTTACCCCGGGAACCACCACTCAAACCTTTCTCTAAGAATTTGACTATGAACCTGCTATCGGTGGGATCATAGATGTCTGCGGCTGGCTCCAGTGTCGTCAGGATGTGGGTCAGGCTTCGACATCTGCATTTTGGGAAGACACATTCAGACTATAACAGCCTCCTGGGATTTTTAAATACTGTGCAACCTTCTTTGGTGCTCAGTCACGGGTGAGAGAGTGACAGGCCACGAATTGGTTAGATGGTAATTTATTGACAGATTTACTTGGCAGAGGAAGGACAGAGTCTTACAAAGTGGCAGCAGCAGGTCGAAGAGGAGCAAGAGAAGGCAAGAGTGTAAGGAGAGGGAGCAGCCGCAGCTGCCCAAGGGGCTGGGCCGAATGTCGCTCCCCCTCTTCATGGAGGAACGACACTAAACGCTGCCTAGGCTTCATATCCGAGTCACGGCACCATTATGTCGCTCCCCGTCTTCGTGGAGGAACGACACAGGACCCTGCGTTGCTCTTTCGTCTGCTCGGCCCTTCCCAGGTTTGCTGCTGGTTCTTCCCGGGTTGGCTACCGTCCCTTCCACCTCCGTGGAAGGGCGGTTCCCCCTAGCCACTTTCCCCACTTCCGCAGGGGAGCGGCACACCGCCGGCCGGCTCTCTCGGGGGCTGCACAGGTGTTCCTTCAGATGTTCCTGGTGCATGTTGTCTGTCTCCTCTTTATAGTCCTCTTCCGCCAATCCCAACTCTGCTACCCACACGCCGAGTACGCTGCTCTCCTCCAATCAGGAGCAGGTCCTGCAGCTTATTGGTTGAACTGGAGGCAGCTGGGTAGAAGCTGTTACTCCCTTCTCAGCGCCATATTGTGGGAGAGCAGATGCATAGAATAAGTCTTAATTCCAGTAACTTAGTCTAGTCCGAGTTGCTCCCCACACCGAAGAGCAGGGAGACGGTGTCACTTCACACAGGAGGCTGGCCGCCGAGGGCTGGCGATGCCGATGCACTCGGGGCCTGGCAGGTCTGGGGTTGGGTGCATCAGCCAGGCGGGAAGCTCTCTGGGTAGGCAGGAGTCAAGAAT